GGACCCAAATTTGAGTCCCAGCACCCATATGCCAGCTCAAAACTGTCTATAACTCCAGTTCCAGGGAATTTAACACCATCACACATACAAGCAGGCAAAACACTAATACACATAAAATAGAAACAAATAAATTATTATTAAAAGAGAGACCTGGGAATAGGTATTAAAACTACATTGTAGCCGGGCAGTGGTGGCGCATGCCTTTAATCCCGGCACTCAGGAAGCAGAGGCAGGCAGAGCTCTGAATTCAAGGCCAACCTGGTCTACAGAGTGAGTTCCCAGGACAGCCAGGACTGCACACAGAGAAACCTTGTCTCAGAAAAAAAAAAAAAAAAAAAAAAAACAGTTGTTGGCTATACAGTGAATGAGCCAAACTACTATGCTTCAGACTACTAGAGCAGGGCATGGTGGCACACAACTTTAATTCTCTAGTATTGGAGCGGGAGAGGCAGTCAGACTACACAGTGAAACTTTGTCCGAAAAAGAAAAAAAAAAGATATGGGAACTCTAAATCCAAATGAGTCTTGTGCCCCAAAAGCAATTCAAACTGGAACTTGCTTTTCAAATACCTGAAAATTCTGCACCTTTGCCTGAGTAGTTTCTTCTACTTTAAGATATTTATTATCACACCTTTAAATGCTCCAATTCTCTGTCTTAATGATCAGCTCAAATGTTGTTTGTATCTTCCCCAAAGCCTTCTCTAGTTCTCCCATTAAGTCATCTCTCCATCCTCTGAACTTCCAGTGTTTTACTTCCTGAACGCCACCTCTGATTTTCAATCGATTATCACTTACTCAGCATCGTTCTTCACTGCTTAACATTCAAATAAGATTTTAATAAATTTCTGTTTTATAAGTGAATGGCCATATTCAACAAGTGAGAATTTCACCTTCCTCCAATAAGTTTTAACTGTCGAAGCAGCCATTAGTCATTTAGACACCAGCTTCTTAAACTGTAGGTTATGATCTGACAGGGTCACACAACCAGAATGTTGAAAGGATAAAATATATAGCACCAGTAAAATGTTCCTCAACCCACAATAACCAAAAGTTCATTCAAATCAAACACGTAATAAATTGGAATTGTTCTGGTCATGATTGACCATGCTGCATGGAGCAACCTCATCATAGCTTTGGTTCTGAACATTCAATATGCACATTTTGCGCTGTGTATGGCCTTACTCCACTCAGAACTACCACTAGCTGTGAACTGCAGTGTTTTTACCGCACAAACAAGGCTTTTACACTTCTAGAAATATAATGGTTTAATTACAGAAAGCAAAGACTTCTAATATTTTCTGATCAACATTCCCAAGCATGTATCAAATTAGTATGTCTTTAGACTGTGTTATATTCAGACGTTTGTTTTTTTTAAGATGATGTCTAAGTTGCTGACAAGTTGCATAAAAAAGAAAATCATTACATGGAATTTTGGCTTGGAACTAAGGATTTCCAACTATTTCCGAAATGGCCCTTGTACATAGTTCTGTCACTTTGTACTACATATTTGTGAGAAGCAGAGTTCTCAGAACTGCTAATTATAAGATCAAAATACATATCAACTCTGAAAAACACTTAATATGCTCTGTATTGCAGAAGTATGGAGCATTCAGCCAAGATTCAATTCTTTACATGTAAATAAGCACAACTGTTTCATTACTAGGCAAATTTACTTGCACCTTTATTAATGATAAAATTCTATCTATACCAAAGAAATGTTTTAAAATAAACTTATGACTTTATTAGTAAATGTATGTCTTATATCCCTATTTTATGCAGCTGTATACCTGAGGTTGAATAAAAATTTCTCAATCCAAAAAGAATCACGAGCCGGAAAAGCTTAAGAAGCCCTGTCTTAGATCCCAGAGAGTATGTCAAGTAGCTGAGCTAAAGGCATGCCCATTTCACTCCAAACATATATTCTCTTGACCACAACAAGACTAATTTGGCATACACATATAAATAATCTGAAAGAAATTTCAAAAGAGAAGCATTAGAATAAGGTCATAACCTCCCAAAGTAATTTCCAAGAAACACTCTGATCATAAGGATTTTTTTGAAATAGTTGCCCAAAACTTAGTTTCATTATTTTATAAAAACAGCATTAGTTTTGCAAGCTCAGAGTTCTATGATCCAGTCATTATTATTTTTCTACTACTTTTAAAGTTAATTCCTTTTTCACCTCTGGAGCAGCATTCAAAGCCTAGGCCTTAATTTCTTCAAGCCTTATAAGCCTTCTAACTCATCTTTCCACACAGTTCCTCTTCTAACCCTGTTTATGGAGCCATCTGTGTGTCGATGCTGGGGGCTGGAACTGGGGAGAAGGAAAAAAAAAGGTTTCTACTTAGATCGTGTTTTCCAGTCAGGAGTTAGGAACTTCAGATATGTATAGGATACATAAACATTTCTACATAAACAAAAACTATGTTTATGTTTATCTATACATAAACATAAACATTTCTAAGCATTTAAGAAAAACAGTTGAACAGGGAGATGGTCATACAAGGCTTTAATCCCAGCATTTGGGAGGCAGAGGCAGGAGGATCTCTGTGAGTTTGAGGTCAGCCTAGTCTAGAGAGTGAGTTCCAGGACAGTCAGAGCTACACAGAGAAACCCTGTCTGGAAAAAGAAAAAAGAAAAAAGACAAGACAAGACAAGACAAGACAAGAAAAGAAAAACAGTTGGCATGCCTTTAATCCCAGCACTCAGGTGGCAGAGGCAGGTGGATCTCTGTGAGTTCGAGGCCAGCCTGGTCTACAAGAGCTAGTTCCAGGACAGACTCCAAAGCTACAGAAAAACCCTGTCTCCAAAAAAAAAAAAAGGATTCAAAACAGCAGTGGATGGGTCTCTGGTCTCCCAAGAACCATGTGTTCTTCTTCACACACCGTTCCCCCTCATCCTCCCACCCAATTTGTGCATCTTGTTGGTTAAGACCGTCTGTTGAACTACCCATATGCCATGCACTGGCTTCAAGTCCAATTTCGCTCCAACTTTGCCTTGCCACCTGCAATAAAGACAATCTACTTAGTGAAACCTGCTGGTACCTTTCTTTACGATGAAGATGAATCCTTTCCATTTTCTACTTTAACATCCAAGACCCTTTGTAGGTGTTAGGAAGTATGTAATTTTTTTTCATCTTTTATCGGCCCTTGTTTATTTTTTATGTCTCATGACTAAAGCCATCATAATTACTCATGGAACTTCTTTTTTAAAAAATACAAAAACTTTACCCCTGAAGAGCCTTTAGTAAGTCCGAGTGGGAACCAGACATCTTTATATCTAAAAAGCCCCCCTGGTGATTCTCATGCACACCCTGAGAGCCATTGATTCATTATAACACTCTTTATACAACACACATTCAGTGCTTATTAATTCATGGCACGGAAGCTCATAAATAACTTTTCTCTAAATAGCCTAACCAGCTATCAACCCCTTGATTACACTAGCTGTGTTCCAAGTGCGACATGTGGTTTTAAGATTCCGTTTCCTCAAGTACTACATGGAAGGACACCATTACCTTGTCTCTTTACATTGTTTCCCATTTGTTGAAAAACCAGAGGCCTGGAATGCAGCCATGTCAGACAACACTACATAAGAATGTACTGTGAGTCTGAGATTAAAATTAGTTACAACGAGAAGAAGAACGAGATAGTCTGAATGAATGCAGTGCTCCTACTCAACGGTTTCTTACTTAATCTGTACAGAAAAAAAAAAGGAATTTGGTCTGAGGTCCATCCCTCCTCTCGTCCCCTTGCCGTCCCCACCCCCCAGCTTCCTAACTACCAGTCTCCAGAAATGCCCGAAACAGCCCCGGCCCCTAAGGCCCGGGAAGAGCACTAAAGTCCTATAACCAGATAAATAGCCCAAGCCCCGCCCGACTGACAGTTACCTATCAACTACCCCGACAGGGTTCACACAGCTCAGTTCCGAAGCAGTATGAACTTTTCCTGAGTTGCTCTGAGTCACACCCAGCCTAGAGCAAGTGTGACATCAGCCAGGGAATGGTTAAGGGACTCTTTTCCCATTTCAGAAGTGGGCTGCACCTCAGTTACTACAACTGTGGGCTACAGAGATCAGTGCAGAGCCGGTGGTCAGCAGGAAAGTGTAGACTTTGAAAAAGGACGCCCCAGTCTTCCCTCAGGCAGGGGCTGCAGATTCCACAGGCCTCTCACAGCAGCTCCATCTTGCTTCCTGCCAGAGGAGGGGCAGAGGAGGAGCCCCCCCCCCATCTGAAAAGGCCCCAGTGGGAGGAAGCCGTTTGACAGCAAGTAAAGCTGGGTGGAAAGCTTCACGGGAGGAATAAAATGAATGGCTCCGGGGTCAGGCAGGAGGGAAAGCTGGGCTCCCGGGTAGGAGTTGCTGCGTATAGGTGTTAGAGTGTCGGAGGTGTGAGCGAAATGGCCCGGAGGGAAGGAGGCGGTGGCAGACACAGGAGGAAGCCAAGTGGGGGGGGGGGGGGGAGTCAGACACCAGGAGCCCTGGGGAGGGTGGGTCTCAGGGGGATAGAAGTATCAGAAAGACGAGCGGCCGGTGCAAATAAGAATCCTTGGAAGGAAAGGCAGGGAGTCCGTAAGAGAACCCACCCACAGGCTGGAGAGGAGAGGCCTAAAAAGGAGCTGAGGGCAAGGTAGTCAACTCAGGGACGTGAGCCTGCCCAGGGGAGGGACCGTCCGACAACCTAACGACTATCACTTCTTGGCAACCTACTATGGGCACACACACGGTAGGCAGTTTACAAATAAAACACAACACAGCCCCAAGGCAGGCTTTGTGATGACTGCCCCCATTTTATAGATGAGGAAACTGAGGCCCCGACAGACTCAGTGGCTTGCTCAAGGTCACTGCATAGAGAAATCAACCGTTGAAACCACAGCACCCGCCCTGGAGCCCACTCCGCGCAGAGCCACAGGCAAGGCAGCCTACGAATGCAAGCAACTAGGCAGACCGGGACCCGAGGGATGTCTCCCGCCCGCGTTCCAGTCCCAGGCGCGGCGCGCTCACCCGGACGAGGTTGCTGACGGCCGCCTGCACGGCGGCCACGGGCGCGGTGAGGTCAGGAATGGCTTTGCCGTCCACCTCGCCCTCCTCGTGCATAATCACCAGGTGCGAGATCTGCTGCGCCACCGGCTCCAGGATGCTCTCGATCGTGCGCGTGTGAAACACCGGCATCGCGGCGGCTAGCGGGGCGGCGAACCGCGGGCGACGAAAAACTAGGATCGGCCGGGCCGGGAGCCTGCCGGGAGAGAGTGACTCGGAGCGACGACCAGAGTCCGGGCTTCCCTCGGCGTACCCAGCCCCACGGGCGCCCCGCCCTGTCACGTCGCTGCACCCAATGGCAACGCCGCCCAGGCCTCGACTGCGGCTTCTATTGGTTCTTCTTCAAGAAGCCCCGCCTCCAAGGCCGCACCGCCAAAGTCCCGCCCCGCCCCCATTCCCAAGGGAGGGGCCTGGGATCGGGACTGCGCCGCAGGGATCGCGACCGGATTCCCGAACCCTCTCGCGGGGCGCTCCTTATAAGGGCATGGTGGGAGCGGAGCGCGCGGCTGCAGTCAGTGGGCCCGCCCCTCGGGCCCGCCCCCCGCCTCAGAGTGGCGGAGCTCCGCCCCTCCGCAGGATCACCTCAGTGGGGCGGGATCTCCTCACCTCTGGCAGGCAGCGCGGGCGTCTGTGAAGACCCTGCTAACCCCAGTTCTCACCACAGGGTGCTCAACTTTCCCTCTTCTGACTCCTCCCAGTGATTCAGAAGATCCAGACAACAAAAATACACCCAGAAACGTGGGGACTCCCCGGCCCCCAGATATCACAGCCGTTTGTTTGGTGTGGCTCTTTCTAGACCTCCTGTGGACGGGTTCACTTGCAAGTATCTGTTTTCTAAATAAATGAGAACATTTTCTTAGAACTAGAGATTTAATGAAAATTACCTGGTTATCCTTCACTTTGGAGAAATAGAGGTCTGTCTCATTCTGATTTAGTGACTGTGGTGCTCCATTCCTGTAAATCATCTTAGATTTGGTTCTGTTGGTAAAGTGTTTGCCTAGCCTACACAAAGCCCTACGTTTGATTTCCAGCACTAAATAAAATCAGACGTGATAGAGCGGCCTGTATTCCAGCACTAGGCTGGCGGATTAGGCGTTCAGGGTCATCCTCAGCTGCAAAGCAAATTTGAGGCCAGCCTGAGCTACCTGTGACCTTGGGGGAGGAGGGTTCTTTTTTAGTTAAAGAGGGTTCTTTATAGTTAAAGCAGGACTCCAGAGGCAAAAGTAGTTCGTTCATTTGAGAATGAAGTTCCAGGCCAGTCTGGGCAACAAGACCCCATCTCAAAAAGAAAACAGTGAAGTGAAAATGCAAAATTGTGTACATTTTACACGTTGATAAATAGGCCCGAATTGCTCAACTCTCACCACATTTAAGACATCTGTATGTCTTCCTAACCTCAAATTCTCTTGCCTAAGCTTCCTCATTCTGAGAGGAAACACCTTCATTACTGTCTTCAAACAAAGGTTCCTCAAGCCAAAGAAAACTATCTTAGGATCTTACATTTTGTAGGCCAATCCACATGCTGCCTTGACCAGCTTTTAAAGCTGGTATTGTCTAGCAGTGCTGTGTGTTGCCAAGTCTTGAACTTTCTCTTGAGTTGAAGACGAACTCAGCTCATAGAGAGTACTTGCCGACCATACACAAAACTTTGGGTCAGTCCCTAACATCACATAAACAGCGTGGTATGGCAGAGTGCGGCTATGATCTTAGCACCCAGGAGACAGGAGCAAGAGAATCAGGAGTTCAAGGTCTTCCTCAGTTACCTACCAAGTTTGATGTCAGCCTGCGCTACGATGAAACCGTCTCAAGAGCAAAACCTGAGAAATTTAAGGAAGTGTATAACACACAGAGGCTCATCCACACTTGAAGAGGAGTAGCTCTGAGTTAACGACAAACCTTCCCAGAACTGGGCCCCTGCATTCTACAGACTTACAGTTCTTCTGCTAGCTGCTAGGAAGAATTCAAGGCAGGCATTTCCGATAGACCTCCTGGCTGCCGCCTAAAGCAAATGAGTGATCTTCAATGGAATTAAAACATCTACGGAGACACTCTCAATAATTTACTCGCATTGAATGCATCCGCAAACATGCTGTGGCATTGATACCTCTTGGGAATAGCTACTATGTGCTTCATCCATAGACACTGGAGGGAGCACACACTGAACCTTGACCAAGGTAGGGCAGCTGGCAATGATGACTGGGCCAAATCAGGAAAATGGAGGCTGGCCAGGCCCAAAAGACAGGCGAGCCAGCAGCTGAAAACCTATCCAAGACGGGTGACAGAAGGCTCAATTGTCCCATTAGAATTTTTTTCTATATGCCAGACTAGAAGATAAAATTTAAAATAAAGACAGCAAGCACCAACATGAAGTGCTTCTGCGTGCAGGCTCTATGCAACTGCACTGTTTGCAAACCCAATAACCAGGCTGAGTCAGCATAGCTGTTAATAGGTCTGACTATTACTGACTTTTAATAAATCAGTAGTGCCCCAGAAATACCATTTCCCTATCCTATAGAAATTCATCAAAACTGACATAAAGAGGCTGGAGAGATGGCTAAATGATTAAGAGCACTGGCTGCTCTTCCAGAGGACCCAGCATCCTCTTGGCAGCTCATAGTCATCTGAAGCTCGGGTTCCAAGGGCTGCAACACCTACTTCTGGTTTCTACAGGCACTACAGGCAAAACACTCATATACAGAAAACAATAAAGTAAAAAAGTAACAAAAACTAATGTAAAAAAAATCTGTACAGTCCTACAACACGCTATTGTGATTTGAATGAGAATGCTCTCCCCATAGGCTCATATATTTGAATAATTCGTCCCCAATTGTTGGAACTGTTTGGGAAAGGTCTTAGTTAGATTTTCTACTGCTATGATAAAGCACCATGGCCAAAAGGCAAGTTGGGGTGTAGGGGGAGTTATTTGGCTTATACTTCAGCATTGCTTTTCATCACTGAAGGAAGTCAAGACAGGAACTCAAGCAGGGCAGGATCCCGGAGGCAGGAGCTGATGCAGAGGTCGTGAAGGGTAGCTGCTTACTGGCTTGCTTCCCATGGCTTGCTCAACCCACCTTCTTACAGAACTCAGAACCAGCAGCCCAGGGATGGCACTACCCACCTTGGGCTGGGCCCTCCCTCATTAATCACTAAATGGAAAAATACCTTACAACTGGATTTCATTGAAGCGTTTCCTCAGCTGAGACTCCTTTCTCTGATGACTCTAATTTGTGTCAAGTTGACATACAAAACCACCCAGTACAGAAGGATTAGGAGGTGTAGCTTTGCTGGAGAAGGTGTGTCACTGTGGATAGGCTTTGAAGCTTCAAAAGTTGGTGCCATTCCCGTGTGTGTGTGTATGTGTGTGTGTGTGTGTGTGTGTGTGTGTGTGTGTCTCCCTCCCTCCCTCCCTCCCTCCCTCCCTCCCTCCCTCCCTCGTGATTGCGGACCAGATGTAAGCTCTAGCTACTGTTCCAGTACCACGCCTACCTCCAGCTGTGATGACCTACTGTGATAATCGTGGATTAACCCTCTGCAACCACGGACCCCAAAATTAAATGCTTTTCTTCATAAGTTACTTTGGTCACAGTGTTTTGTCACAGGAGCATAGGAACAGAAGCGTAGCTAAGACAGACGCCAAAGGGGCTTTCTTTGCGAATTGCTTTGTCTGAAGAATAGTGATATGTAGATGATAAAACTGTATGTATTTTTCTTCTTTAAAATTAATTTCTATTACATTAATTTATGCATGTATATGGTGGGGAAAGTGATCCATGAATTTATTCTTGCCAGAGCACACATGTGAAATTCAGAGAATGAACGTGCTGTAGTCAGTTCCCTCCTTTACCATGTGGAACCCAGGTATTGAACTCCGGTCATCAGCTCTGGTGTAATGTGCCTTGAACAGTTAACCAGTGCACATGCTTTCTGTAAACTCTACTGTTCCTCCCAGCACTTTACTGGTAGAATACTTATGAGAAGTTCAATGTCTTCCTTTATTCTATATATTTCCTGCAAGTTTACAGTAAAATTCAGAGGCTTGAATATGTATTATTCTTACCTGTAGCATATCATCCCTGCCTCTGATTTTGTAATACAAATTACTCATTACTAGCCATGTTGCCTTCCTAAGACGCCACGTTCCACAGTCCTTCGCTCCCCTCCATCTTCATCAGTGTCCACTACTGTCGCCCATATCACATGCATCTTCTCACACCTTTCTTGATTCTTGTTAATATATGTCATCACCAATGCCTTCCAGAGTCTGGACCCAGACCAGCTTACTACCTTGTGCTTCCCAAACTAGGCATACATACGGATAGGTTAAATAGCACAAAGAACAAAAACTCAGAATCATTGCTTTACAGTTTGACCAAGGTAAAGATTTCATAGGTGGCTTTTCTTCTCTCTGAAGTAAAAACAAGACAACCTTCAGAGACTTTACATGAGAATCAGTGAAATAATTTATATAACGAGTCCAGAGGACAGAGGATAATTCTCAGTTTGCAGAGTACTTGCCTTAGCATCCGTGAGATCCTAAGTTTGACTTGGAGTACCACATAAATCAAGTATGGTGGTCTATGCCTGTAATCCCAGAACTCTGGAGACAGCAGTAGGAGGATTAGAAATTCAAGATCATCTTCTACAACATAGGGGGTTCAAGGATCGCTCACATCAGACCCTTTCTACAATCAAGTAACAAAGGGTCCAAGAAAACTTCAGGAAAAGAGAACTATTATTATTTTTACTACTGGAGCAATCACAAATAAGCAATTCAAAAATTCCTGGTAGAGTTTTACTTTAGGAGTTTTGTCCCAACTTTTCCACTTAGAGCTTTCTATTTATATATAAATCTTGTAAATTATGATAAGCAAGATTCTAAGATATCATCCTCTCCCAAGAATAAAACAGAGCTGATTCCAAAGATTGCTTGCTGCTCAAATTCCAGGTAGGAGATCCCATCCACCTATGGATAAAAAAGAAACTGTGGGGCAATGGAATGAATTATGTTTGGTTAGGCAGGCCTGAGAGCAGACATTCCAGAAGGAGCAAGTCTGAAGGAGGGCCATATTCCAGGTCAGTGCTTAAGTTACTCAGACTGAAGTAATGTTCATGCAACTCCAAGATAAAGATGTGAAAGTAAATTTCCATAAGATTATAACCTTCAAACATCAAGCACTGTGTGGCAGCTGCTCTTAATTGTGGCTAGCTCAACATACCCTTTACTATATAATTAGTTCAAAGACCACTA